TATAGCCCTTTTCTTCGAGAGCTCTGCGCTGCTCTCGGTTCTAGGGTTTCCTCCTTTTTCCTCGTGATCTTCCTTCGATCTTTTGTTCGTTTCGAGTGATTTTTAGCTAGTTTTCCTGCTGATAGCCTCCTCTGGCCCTCTTGGGCCTCTTGGCATGGCGGGGGGCTCTGCCTCTATGCCGTGGGGAAATGTTTCATCTAAAGCTCAGGACCAAAATAAAGGTTTTTTCAACTTAGATGCTGAGGAGGCTTCACCTTCTAAATCTCGATCGTTTAAAGATGTACTGACTTGTTCATCAGGTGATACCTTACCTTCTCTTACCCCTTCAACGTTTAACGGAGTTCCTGCTGTTTTGATTTCGGATGATGATGTCCTTAAACTTGCTTCACCTTTTCGTTTCACTCTTGTGGGAAAATTTGGCGTTAGATGCCCAAATCTTGATGCGATTAGATCGTTTTTTGGTAATCTCAAGCTTTCGGGTTTCTACTCTGTTGGTTTATTGGATTCAAAGCACGTTGCAATACAACTTTCTAATGACTTGGATTACAGTCGGATTTTTGCGAGAAGATCTTATTTTATTTTCAATTGTCATATGCGGATTTTAAAGTGGACACCTTTTTTCGATGTTAAGGAGGAATCTCCGATTGTTCCTATTTGGGTCTCTTTTCTGAATCTTAGACTGCATTTTTTCAATCCTAAGGTTTTGCATGCTTTAGGTTCTATCTTTGGCCGTCCCCTTCAAACGGACCAAGCCACTGCGTATAGAACCAGGCCCTCTGTGGCTAGGGTTTTAGTTGAGGTGGATATTACTAAGAAGCATGCAAAGGAAGTTTAGGTTGGTTCAAAGGCTTTTGGGTATTTACAAAAAGTTGAATTTGAAAAAAACTCCTAATTTCTGTACTCATTGTAAAGCTCACGGTCATGCTGTCTCGGAATGTTTCAAACTTCATCCGGAACTAAAAGTTAAATCCAACACCTCCATTGGAGTGGCGGGTATTAAGGAAACGACTATTGAAGATCCTGTAATTGAAAATCCTGAAACTGAGAATACGTTAACTAATGTTGCTGGCAATTCCAATGTTGAGAGGGTTGGAAGTGAAACTTTAAAAGTTCCGGAAAGTGTGGATACTCCTACTACTTCCCCTGTTAAAACTTTAACTGTTAAAGACAAGTCTTTTGTTGAGAATGGAGAAATTTCTAATATATTTATCTATGTTGATTCTATGCTTAATAATTCTACTCCCCCACTTACTTTGGTTAATACCGAGAACATTGATGATGATCCTAGCGAAGATCAAGAGAAGGGAGAATATGTTCCAGGACAGACCTTGCCGGATTCGATGAAAAAGGGTAATCACAATAAAAATGGGGAAGGTCAGTCTTCTGCTACTTTTTCTGATAAAGGCAAATATACTGAGGAAGAATGGATTTCTAAATCGCAAAAGAAAAAAAAGAAAAATGTTAAAGTTACTTTACCGGATACCCCGCGTTCTACCAAGGCTCAAACTAATAACAAAAATTCTAATGATTAAAGCCATTATTTGAAATGTTAGAGGTATTGGTGGTTCTGATTCTAAAAATCGGGTTAGGAATTTATGTCGGGTTCATAATATTTCATTTCTGGTTCTGCTTGAGCCTTTTATTTCTTTTGATAAATTGACGTCTACTGCTGCTAGTTTAGGTTTTTCTGGTAGTTTTTCTAATTGCTCTAATAAGATCTGGATTATGTGGAAAAATCATTTTAATGTTGCTGTGATTTCTGACTTTCAACAAGTGGTTAATGTGCAAATATCTTTTAACCAGTTTAATTTTTATACTTCTTCGGTTTATGCTTCCTCTACTATAAATGGTCGTATCCCTCTTTGGGAATGTTTAACTGATTTTGCTCATCTGATTGATGGTCCTTGGTGTGTTGGGGGTGATTTTAATATTATCTCTAATGTTAGTGAAAGAACAGGGGGTAATCCTCCTAATATGAATGCTATGGATGATTTTAATCAAGTTATTTCTTCTTGTAATCTTACTGATATTGGTTTCTCTGGCAGCTCTTTTACTTGGAATAGAAATAACATGTGGCAAAGACTTGACAGGTTACTTTTCAATAATGATTGGATTAGCAAATTCAATATGACTAGGGTTCAACATTTGAGCCGCACTCTCTCCGACCATTCGCCCTTGCTTCTTTTTATATCTAATAGTTTTTTGACGGGTCCTGTGGCTTTTAGATTTCAAAATATGTGGATCAAGCATGTTGGGTTTTTTAATGTTGTGTCTGAAAACTGGAATGCTTTGGTTTTTCCTGATAATAATATTCATGGTATGCATAGATTATGGGCTAAATTAAGTAGATTGAAACAACTGTTAAGATGGTGGAATAAGCATGTTTTTAAAAACATCTTTGAAAATATCAAGGAAGCCGAGGAGAAAGTTTTAATTGCGGATAACCTTTTTCTGGAAATTCCTTCATCTGAAAATATGGCTAATCTTGATAATAGTAAACTCCTTCTTTTTAATTTGCAAAACCAGGAAGAGATTTTTTGGAAACAGAAGGCTTCTAACTCTATTTTGTTGGAAGGTGATCGGAATACTTCCTTTTTACATGCTTTAGTCAACAAAAACCGTATAAAAAGCTACATTCACAAGCTGACTGATGAGCATGGTGTTGTTTATGATAATGTTGATACTATTGTTAACTCTGGAGTGGACTATTTCTATAATATTTTTAATGTCGTCAAGCCTGTTTCTTCCATTATTAACACTAATGTGATTCCTAATATTTTGGATGAGAATGATAATAGTTTCCTTACTCAATTACCCAATGAAGAAGAAATTTGGAATACTATCAAAGGTATGAATGTTGAGTCGGTTGCCGACCCTGATGATTATACTACTAAATTTTTTGTGAAAACTTGGGATATCATTAAAGCTGATATGGTGGATGTTGTTCATGATTTTTTCAAGGGTAAGCCTTATCCCAAAGCTTTTTCTTGCACTAATATTGTTCTCATCCCCAAGAAAGATAACATTACTTTCTGGAAGGATTTCATACCTATTAGTCTTTGTACGTTTTTTAACAAACTTGTGGCTAAAATTATTGCTTATAGACTTTCTACTATTTTGCCTAGAATTATTTCATATAATCAGACGGGGTTTGTTAAAGGGAGGAGTATTTTTGACAATATTCTTCTTGCTCAAGAACTGGTGCATGATATTAACATTAAAAGTATTGGTGGCAATATTCTTTTCAAGCTCGACATTACAAAGGCTTATGATAATTTAAATTGGGAGTTTCTGTATAAAATTCTATCTTTGTTTGGCTTTAATCAGGTTTTTATTAATCTTGTTAAGCATAGCATTGATAATTGTTTCTTTTATGTTATTATTAATGGGAGGAATCATGGCTTTTTTAAGTCTACGAATGGCCTTCGTCAGGGGGATCCTTTATCTCCTTCCCTTTTTATCATTGCTATGAAATATCTGTCTAGGGGTTTGGATGATTTGTACAGTAGGTTTCCTAACATGAATTATCGTACTGGTGGTGGTTTTCCGATCTCTCATCTTAGTTTTGCTGATGATTTCATTATTTCTTCTAATGCTTCTTTTAAAAATGTTAAATTGTTAGTTAACTTTTTGGATAC